CCGCATGAAGGATGGAGGACAGAGGAGTGCATTAGGCAGAAGGAACAACATATGCAAGGTCCTAGAAACAAGTAAAACATGGTTCCTTGAAAATATAAAACGAGTTTCCTTTGGCCAGAACACAGAGTGGAAGGCATGGGATATAGAGAGATGAGGCTGGAGGGGTAATGATAAAGACTTGTAAGGGCAGTGAGCAGCATGGGGAAGGTGCAACCAGGTTTGCATCTGAAGAATACCAAACTCGAGGGAGAGGAAAATAGAGGAGGAAGGAGTTGGGCAGTGTATGATAGGTGATCACTTAAATGATATTGATAGAGTGGTGAAGGATGGAAAAAGTGCATACATTTCAGGAATGCTTAAGGAGTAGAACAGTAATGACTAAATGTTTGGGTGTGGTAAGTGAAGGAGAGCAAGTTAAATGGGTGTTAGTCAATCCTTAAAAAGAAAATCGGCAACCCCCCCCCCACTTATAGTGTTTAGGGGAAAATAATGAGTTCAGTGTTGGTCATGTTTCACTTGGCATTCTCCACCAGGAGATGACATACCCACCAGGAGATGGCATACCCACCTGGAGGTGGCATACCCACCTGGAGATGACTTGGCAGTTCTGTGTTGGCCTGGATGAAACATAGGAGAGAAACCGCCACCAGAAATGTAACTTTGGGACTCCTCAAAGTACATGGGATGAGGAAGCCATAAGTCGAAAAAGACAAAGGAGTGTGTGCAGAGTAAGAAAAGAAAGCCAAGCTAAAACCCAGAGAACAAAAAAATGTTTAAAAGATGAGCAAGAGGATCTCACAAAAAACTGAGAAGTGGCGAAGAAGTAGGAGAAAATTCTAAGAGAATATAGTGTTGCCAAAGTAGTTCAACGATGTTCCATGCATCATCAATAAATCCAGGCCTGGTTTTCAAAATACAATTTTTATTTTTTAATCTTGTTGTGAATAGTACCAAGCAACAGTTCTCAAACTTTTTGGTTATACAAGTTATTGTACACACTTACAAATTATTGAGGACTCAAAAGAGCTGAATATGTGGCTTTAGTTATTAATATTTACTAGGAAATGAAAACTGAGTTAAATTTAACTATATGTATTGATTCATTTAAAAATATAACTATTACTAGTTAATTTATGTGTTTAGAAAAGTTATTTCAAAACAAAAAATTAGTGAGAAGAGTGGCATTATTTTATATTTTGGCAAATCTCATGAAGGGTTAATAAAAGTCTCATATCTGGTTCTACCTTCCATCTGTTTGCTGTCATGATTTGTGGAAAATTCCACTGTAGCATCAGAGAACAAGAGTGAAAAAAGTAAATAGCAATTTGAATAATTATAAAAACAGTTTGCTGATGGAGACGCCATGAAAGAGAGTTCTATGAACCTAGTGACTACACTTTTAGAATTACTGCCCGAGAGTGGGGCAGCACAGAGATACTGTGCACCTCACAAGTGTGCTCTCGATACTGTAGCCTGGATTGACATTTCAAGAGCTATTTTATGAGAGGTTGAGGTTGTCTGGTTGACACAACCCCCCAAATTTAGGAACGGACTCCAGAACATTTATTCAGTTAATTCCCTCATAAATATTTATTCAGCATACACTATATGCCAGGAACTACTTTAGACGCAGAGGCTATGACAAACCAAATGGACAAAATTCCTTGATTTCATGACGCTTCCCTTCTCTTTGGGGAACATTAAACAGTGAACAAATAAAGTAGTAAAATATTTAGGTTATTGGAGGGTGGTGAGTGCTATGCAGAAAAATAATGTGAAGAGGACTTGCAGATTTCAGTAGTATGGACAGGGAAATCCTCATTAAGAAGGCAACGTTTGAGCAAAGACCTGGAGGAGGTGAAGGAGCCATTTGGACTTCTGGTGAAAGAACTGTCTCAGGTATTGAAAAAATTAATTCCTTAATTTATTCTAATTCTTATTGATATGTATTCTTTCATCGGATCTCTATTGTAGCTGCAAGTATAAGAAGATAAAACCCAAGAACAAGTTTTCTATTTAGTCCTGTCATGTTGCCAGACATTTTGCTAGGTATTATGTACCTTCACGAAGATTAACAACCTAGTGAAGGAGACAAAGCATATACATATTTAAGTCTTTTATCCACCTTGAATTTATTTTGGTGTATGGTGTAAGTTGGTTCTCAAGTTTCTTTTTTTTTTTTTCACATAGCTGTCCAGTTCTCCCAACACCATTTGTTGAAGAGGCTATCTTTACTCCATTTTATGTTACTGCCCCCTTTGTCAAATATTAATTGGCTGTAGAGAGTTGGGTTTATTTCTGGGATCTCCGTTCTGATCCATTGGTCTATGTGCCTGTTTTTATGCCAGTACCAGGCTGTTTTGATTACTGCGGCCTTGTAATACAGTTTGATATCAGGTATTGTGATCCCTCCTACTTTGTTCTTCTTTCTCAAAAGTGCAGCTGCTATTTGGGGTCGTTTATGGTTCCATATAATTTTTTGAAGTGTTTGTTCTATGTCTGTGAAATATGCCATTGGTACTTTAATAGGTATTGCATTGAATCTGTATATTGCTTTGGGTAGTATGGACATTTTGATGATGTTAATTCTTCCAATCCATGAACATGGTATATGTCTCCATTTGTTTGTGTCTTCCTTGATTTCTTTCTTTAGTATTGTGTAGTTTTCTGCATACAGGTCTTTTACATCCTTGGTTAGGTTTATCCCTAGGTATTTTATTTTTCTTTTTGCTATATCGAATGGGATATTTTTTCTTGATTTCTGCTTCTGCTGTTTCATTGTTGGTATACAAAAATGCCTTTGATTTCTGGATATTGACTTTGTATCCTGCTGTTTTGCCAAATTCATTTATTAGCTCGAGCAGCTTTGGGGTAGAGTCTATATGATTTTCCATGTACACTATCATGTCATCTGCAAACAGTGACAGTTTTGTTTCCTCCTTTCCAATTTGGATGCCTTTTATTTCCTTTTCTTGTCTAATCGCTGTGGCTAAAACTTCCAATACTATAGTGAATAGAAGTGGTGAAAGTGGACAATCTTGTCTTGTTCCTGATCGCAGTGGAAAAGATTTTAAGCTGTGACACCATTAAAGTCCTAGAGGAGAACATTGGCAAGAAAAATCTCAGATATTTCACGCAGCAACTTTTTTACCGATATGTCCCCCAGAGCAAGGGACATAAAGGAAAGAATAAACAAATGGGATCTCATCAAAATTAAAAGCTTTTGCATGGCTAAAGAAAACAGTATTAAAACAAAAAGAGATCCAACTGTATGAGAAAACATATTTGCCAATGATACCTCAGACAAGGGTTTAATCTCCAAAATATACAAAGAACTTACATAACTCCACTCTAAGAAGACAACCAACCCAATTAAAAAGTGGGCAAAGAAATTGAACAGACATTTCTCCAAGGAGGACATACAGAAGATCCAGGGACACATGAAAAGATGCTCAATATCACTAGCTATAAGAGAAGTGCAAATTAAAACCACAATGAGATACCACTTTACACTGCTCAGAATGGCTATCATAAACAAAGCAACAAACAAGTGTTGGAGAGGTTGTGGAGAAGAGGGGACCCTAATCCACTGTTGGTGGGATTGCAGACTGGTACAACCATTATGGAAAACAGTATGGAGTTTTCTAAAAAAACTAAAAATCGACCTGCCTTTTGATCCAGCAATTCCACTGCCGGGGTTATATCCTAAGAACCCTAAAACACCAATTCAAAAGAACCTATGCATCCCAATGTTCATAGCAGCACAATTTACAATAGCCAAGAGTTGGAAGCAACCCAGGTGCCCATCAGTAAATGAATGGATCAAACAATTATGGTACATATACACAATGGAATTGGAGCAGAAAGAAAGAAGGAGCTCCTTTCTATGCAGCAGAAAGAAAGAAGGAGCTCCTACCCTTTGCAACAGCATGGATGGAATTGGAAAGCATTATGCTGAGTGAAATAAGCCAGGTGTTGAAAGACAAATAACATATGATCTCACCTTTAACGGGAAACTAAACAACAAAACAAATAAGCAAGCAAAATAAAAACAAAGACACTGAAATAGAGAACAAGGGGACAGTGACCAGAGGGAGAGGGGAGGAAATTTCAGGGGAAAAAAGGGAAGGATGTACAGAAACTAGTATAAAGGACATATGGACAACAACTAAGGAGGGTGGAAATGGGAGGGAGGTGGGGAGCACTGGGGGTGTGGGCTGGGATGGGAGTAAAAGACAGAAAACTGTACTTGAACAATAAATAAATTTTGAAAATAAAAATAAAAGAAGCTTCTACCCTAAAAAAAAAAGGATATACATAAAATTCCTGCAGTTGCGGTGTAGTGGTTCTTATAAGGAGTAATCGTTGTTTGGAAGTTTCACTACCAGAGGTCTGCATGCATCTGATCTACCTGAAGTTTACATCTCTCTTTCAACATGAACATAAGTATGATGGGTACTCTTCAATATAACAGGGTATAAGCCACGAAGAGAGTAATATCCAGTCACACGCTTTATGGAGCGCTTAAGTTTACGAAGTGCTTTCATGAATTAACTTATTTAATCTTCATAACAATTCTGAGAAGCCGATATTATTATAAGAGGTATTACTGCGTTGACTGTTGACTGCGAGTTAGGAAACAAGCTCAGAAGACTAGGTAATACAAAGCTGTTATACGGTGGATTTGGGACCTAAATTTAAAATAATCTGCCTTTAACCACAAAGCTTTCCTTACTGCAGCCTTTCCTATTGCAACTGTTAGGAGCAGGTGCTGAAATTTTAAATAGAGCGTTATATTTCCCCAACTCAACAATTTCCCAAGTGCACCTCGGAAGCGGGGTTAGGTTAAGGCCGGGAAGGACGAAGAACCCGTCAGTGAAGACACACACAGTGCCCCCGCCTCCCCGCCACGCCCCCCAATCTGCGCTTGCTCAGGAGAGGCAAGAGGCCGAGGACTGTAGGTTTGCGCAGACGCAGAACTACCTCAAGGCGGAGATACGGCTTCAGCAATCCACCGTCAGTAAAAAGAAGGTGGCAGCGGCGGAGGAGCAGTGCGCATGTACGGGCAGCTCTCTTCGGTGAGGGTTTGAGAGCCAGACGGTGGAGGCTGCGCTCGGAGAGGACAAGGGTCAGCATGGACGAGGACGTACTGACCACCTTGAAGATCCTCATCATCGGCGAGAGTGGCGTGGGCAAGTCTAGGTGAGGGCGTCTGCGGGTCGTTACAGGAGTGGCGGGGCCCTTTCCGCCTCCCTGGCCGCGATGTTTCGCCGCGACCTGAAAGGTAACCGGCGGCGGCCGGGGGCGGGGCGGGGTCCGCTGGTGCCCTGCCCAGCCTCCCCGCCGCCGAGGCCCTTCGGCCTTTGCGCCCCGCGCCCGCCCGGAGGCCCGTTCGGGGCCTCTGCCAGGCCCGAGTTCGCTGGATCGCTTTGCCTGCGGTCGCGCAGAGAAGCAATCTAATTGGGGAACCGCTTCCCGTCTGGCTTGTTTGCTGCCGCGGAGCACGGGGCGTGGCGGGCTGGTTTAGGCCGGAGTCTGGCCCAGCCGAGGCCTGGTCTAGGCCCCTCGGGGTTCAGGCTGCCTGTCACCCCGCGAGTTCAGAGTTGTAACTTTATCACTTAGGCATTTCTGTGGGGCTTTTCTAAATATGTGTTCTTCGCAGGAAGTTTCGTGACGCCTTAGATCACATTCCTGGCCTGTTTTGGTACACCCCATTGCAGCTTCTTTTCTGTTTCTTTTCTGAGTCAGCTGTGAAAGAACTCATTGGTCTTCTAATTGCCTTTGGTCTGAGGTGCTAGAGTTCAAGCTGTGGGCCACCTTTCAAAATAAAGGGTAATTGTTAGTTCTCATTTTGCCACATCATATAGGGGTAGAAGGACAAATTGGGGCTGTGCTTTCTTTCTTGACACTTTCTTGGGGAAATAACATTGACGGTTGTTGACGTGGAGCTGGGAACGTGTTGCAAGAGGGTAATGATTTCATCGAGGTCTTAGAACAAGTTCTTTGGGTGAACTTGTCCTTGCCAGCTGATTATGACTAGGTGGTAGTCTAGGGTGCCTTGTACTTTAAACAAATTTCGCGTTCCAGGAGCTGTAAGTAGTTTTACATTGTAGTTGCACCTCCTGATAAACGTATTTTTCAAATCGCATTTAAAGTCTTACTTTTTTAGATACAAAAAGACTTGAAATCTTATTTTGTAATACATTCTGAAATTGTATGTATTTTTAAAATATAACAACACATTTCATAGTTTTTCTCATTTAATGTGTACATTGGAGTAAGGGATTCCTACACAACAAGGAATAAAGTAATGAAACACTATGGGCTAGCCAGATACTGTGATTTGTCTGAATAAAATAATTTTTATTCAGTTTGAAGGTTAAATAAAATAAAATAATTTGTCTGAATAAAATAATGTTCATATCTGTTTGAAGGTGTAAAAGCTAGTAAATATACTGAACATTGACTTAATAGGAATTCTATAGCATTGTGACCTTTCTTTTTTTCTTGAGATGTATGTGACTGTCATTTAAGTTAAGGCCTCTGAAATTGCTGATTTTGAAGTCAGTAAAGGTCAAATGTCATTTCATATGGTTCAACCCAATGCATGATTGATTGGGACTTCTTCTAAATGTATTGGATGGATAACTAGTTAAGCTATGTTAAAATTTCCTCAAAGGGTAACAGTGTTTACATAATTGTGGTTCTTCTTCTAGAGTAAAATGTGTTGCATGTAATTACTGGTTTCCTTTGTTCTCTTTTTTCATACAAAAACTTACGTGGATGTAATATCCAAAATTTTTCTCAGTACTTCATGGTGAGGTATGAATTGCTCACTGCAAAAATTTAACACTTTTAACCATCTCTTTAATGGAAATATTGCATTTAGGGAGAAAGTTGCCTTATTTTTCTAGCTAAATATACATGTTGTGTATGTAATATGTTATGCCTATCTTTCTGAATAAAGTGAGAATAAATGACTACTAAAAAAATAGAAGCCTGTGCTTTTTAAGGTGAGTTAGTTCATAAACATATGTCATGGACATAATCTTAAAGGGTTCTAACCAATAATTTATTTCTATTTCTTTTTAGATCTAGAGTTAGTAAAAACGAGATATCACTTTTATTGAGAAATCGTTGCACAACAAAGGTTATCTTAACTCACTGAAATTAGTGGGTTATTTTTCCAGTTTATTTTGGACTCTTGGAGTGTAGTGAGCGCCTATGTTAGCAGTCAGGAGATCAGGATTATGAAACTAGTGCTTCCACTGGGTGTGATCTTGTATCTGACATTTGAACACTGTAGACTTTCATTTCTTTGTTTGAAAAGTGAGGTTGGAATAGAAATCTCTCAAACTCTATTTCATCTTAAATATGTAAGATTCTTTGATTCTATGGCTAGCCCAACAGAAATAAAGAAGTTGGAAAGTGTTTTAGAAACTGGAAGTGATTCTAGGGATCATCTTTTATATAAGTTGCTGTCCCCCCTGTGTCCCTTGTATCTCCATCCTTTCTGGCTAATTTCATTTGTAAATTAAGAGGTGCAAATTAGTTATAAATCACACTGTTTACTTCTTCCATCTTTAGCTCTGCATGGAGAATATTTTGCTCCTTTAAAAATATGAAAGCTTAAACATATGTCCATTAGAGCAGTGGTTCTTAATCATTTTCAGGTTGTGGGTTTCTTTCAAAATCTAATAGAGAAATGGACTCTATACCTAGAAGAATGAATGCATGCATAGATTTTGGGATTAATTTTGAGCTGCCTGTGTATCCCTGGCTAAGATTGGCTGCTTATACCCAGAGCATGTATTAACATTTGTTGCTTTGCACCACACTAATTCCCTGCCTTTCCTGATAAAGTGTCACTGATGACAAGAGTAGTTGTAAGCATTAGCAATTCTGTAAGAAAAACCCCTGCCTCCGTGTCTGGCACATTATCTATGTTTAATAAATAATAGCCAACACTATCGTTATTATTTATATTACTAAAGTATTGTTACTATTACTACTACTACTGCTCTATAAGGTTATGTTAACCTATGTTTTTGTAATATTTTCTGTAGTGACCAAGCATGGATACATACTTTTTCTATTCTTAAATTGCGGATGACTGAAATTTTTAGTGAAATTTTCACTTCCTTAATTTAAAGTTTAGTGTTGCAGAGGGAAAAAAATTTTGAAACAGTCTTTTAAGATTCTTAACTGCTCTCACCTAGCTCATGTTGAAAGTAAATAAAAATAGTTACAGTCAAGCAGGTTCAGTGTTAACCAGAAAAATCTACAGTTCGACTCTTCTCTTTGACTTTGTGGTGCTGGTTTTATGGTAGACACAAGAAAGCGAAACCAGGAAAGGGACAGTTAACCCTTCAAGTACAGTCATTGATACTGGGTTTGGAAATTCTCAGGAAGCCACTATATTTTGCAGTATGCTCTGTGCCCCCCATCCCACCCCCCACTGAACATCTCTAACAATAATTACAACCTATAGAAATACTTATCCACAACGGAGACATCTGACATTTATTGCCTTAATTTCATTTATGCAAATGGGTAAATAGAACAATTTTGTCCTACTTCAGGAGATAATAGGATTAATTTTATAAATCTGGGGCTTTAACAATAGCTTAGATTTTATTTTTGAAGAGCTTCTAATAACTGACACTTCTGCTTCATATTAAATAAAATAATCCTAGGAGATATAAAATCTTAGAATATTCTTCTATTCTGGTATCATTTTGCTTTCATGTCACCTCCCTTTTTAGTGTCTTTACCATTTTTTAGGTTTAATCCTTTGTTAATCTCTCACCACACCACAACCATGGCAGTTGTCTTGCGTTGATTTTTCTTACTTTTTTTTTGCTAGCATAACTTTTCAAAATGCAGAGCAGTTCTTGCCATTCCATTTTTAAAACCCTTCAGCAGCTCCCTATTGCCTACATGATGTTATACACCTTGCATATCATTTGTCAGAGTATATGTACTCCGTACATCATGTGATCTGTCTGCCTTCACTGTTTATTAGTGTATCTTTTTATCCCACATAGGGAATAGTCACACTGTGTACTACAAAGTACTAGACATTCACATCTTTCTGTTTTTAGTTGAATTCAGAATGAATTACACAACAAATATTTTTTAAGAAAATTAACTTGCTGCATTCCAAGAGACTTATTTCTCTCCCTTTGTCCACATTAGTTAAAGTATGACATGATGTTGTATCACTTTCTTGGAAGGACATATCAGTAGAGTTAAATAAACAGACAAACCTTTCCACACTTGGGAATTTGTGTAGGGAAGCATGGGGAATATGTTTTCTAGAATACATTACTTTGCTCTTCTTTAATTGCCTTTCCAGTAATTTAATTTGTCCTTATATACCTGCACTGAAGCAATATTTGGGGAGTAATATTCTTAGATGCATCTAATTGGTGAGAAAATATAACATCACAAACATATCAAGTGCTTAGCAGAAAAGTCAAATTTCTGATCTATGTTTTTTACATCTCTTCTAGCCTGCTCTTGAGGTTCACAGATGATACTTTTGATCCAGAACTTGCAGCAACAATAGGTAAGCCTATGTTTAAAAATCTAGTAGACACACTAAATATTTTCTTGCCGTCAGGATGTTTTATCTACTACCTGCTCACCATTTGTCTTTCAAAGCTTAACTTTGTTGTCATTAAGTTTCTGAAGGCTTTGTTGATCTCACTAAGCAAAAATAACTTTGTAATCTATTGTATCATGTGGCACTTTAACACTGTGGATGTTATGATTACCTGCAAACACAGTTTCTTTTGTGTACCATGGATTGTCTTTTATTCAGCAGTGTCCAATTATCTGAATATTTATTGTATACCAGGCGCTCTCCTAAGAGGTGGGGTTATAATGATGAATAATACAGACTTGGTCACTATCATCATGGACCTAATAGTGTTGCCTTAGTAGCATATGTTAATTTTGTGTTTTTAGCATATGCTACAGTATCTGGAATGAACTCTGCACTCAATATATTTATTAGTGAGTTATTAAACATTGTTAGGAGCAGTTATACGTAAACTCCTTTAAAAAATGAAATTTAGATTACCTGAGAATGGTTTGCCACACTACCTTTTTAGAATATATGAGAAGATAGAGCTAAATATTTTGGTATCATATGTTTAGGGAGTAGACGACAATATTAAGATATTAAGAGATAGCTTGTCAGAGTTCAAAGGGCTGAGTCAGAGCAAGACAGTTTGGGCTGTGCCTTGAACTAGTTGTGATCTTGGGCAAGGCATTTACTTACTTACTTACTTACTTATTTTTTGGAGAATTTTGCTTGGGCAAGGCATTTATTTATTTATTTGAGCATTTTTCTGTATCAATATGATTGTGTGGGTTTTTTATTGAAGATTTTATTTATTTATCTTTAGAGGGGAAGGGAAGGAGATAGGGAGAAAAACATCAGTGTATGGTTGCCTCTCGTGTGTCCCCTGCTGGGAACTGACCTGCAACCCAGGAATGTGCCCTGACTGGGAATGGAACCACTGTACTCTGGTTCACAGGCCCGTGTTCAATCCACAGAGCTACACCAATTTAACTTCGTCACCTTGATTCATAAATTGAGAAGTTTTGCTAATAGAGAATACATTTCTTCCCACTCTGACATTTTGTGATCTGATGACTAGAATGTAGTAATAGATGATCCTAGCACTGTTGTTAGGGAAAATGGTTTCTCTTACTCTTAACTGGCTTTATTTGTTTTCACTAACTGTGGGTCTGTTTATTTTTGTTTTTAAATAATTTTATACCTAGAGAAAAGTTGTGAAAATATTTCAAAGAATTCCTCTATATCTTACTCAAATTCCCCAACTGTTAATATTAATCACATTTGGTTTATCCTTCTCTCTCTGCATTCAAACAGTGGTCACATGTTTTTCCCAAATGTTTGAGAGGAAATTACAGATCTAATGCCTTTCACTTCTAAATACTTTATTGTGTATTTCCTAAGTTAATATGGATAAAATTCCACTGTATACATTCAGATTTTATCGATTTTCTTACTATTGTCTTATGTAGTAAAAGTAAAAAAATTGTTTCTGGTCCAGGAGTCAGTGCAAGATCACACATTGAATTTAGTTGTCATTTGTCTTTAATCTCTTTTAATCCAAACAGTCTTCAGTCTTTCTTTGCGTTTCATGGCCGTGACATTTTTTTAAAATAATTTTTTATTTTTCAGTTACAGTTGGTATACAATAACTTTTAGTTTCAGGTGTACAGCCCAGTAATTAGACATTCATATAGATCATGAGGCAGTGACCCCATTAAATCTAGTACTCATCTGATATTATACATAGTTAAGACAGTATTATTGACTATATTCTCAATGCTGTACTTTATATCCCAGTTACTATTCCTTAACTACAGGTTTGCCCTTCTTAATCCCTTCAGTTTTCCTATTCATACCTCCTACCCTTCTGATCCCCTCTGGCAACCTTCAAATTGTTCTCTGTATCTATGAGCCTGTTTCCATCTGCTTGTTCATTTATTTTGTTTCCTAGATTTCACATTTGAAGGAAATCGTATGACATTTGTCTTTCTCTATTTTACTCATTTCACTCAGAACAATATGCTTTAGGCCCATCCATGCTGTTGCAGATGGAGAGATTTCACTCATTTTTTTTTATGGCTGAGCCATATTCCATTGTATATATGCACCACTTTGTCTTTATTCATCTGTTGATGGACACTTAGGTTGCTTCCATATGTTGGGTGTTGTAAATAATGCTGCAGTGAACATATGGCTGTAGATCTTTACAATTTAATGTTTTGGGTTTCTTTGGGCAAATATCCAGATGTGGAATTGCTGGGTTCTTCTTGGTCTCTTGTTATAGCCTTTGTTTTAAAGTCTGTTTTGTCTGTTACAAATATTGCTATCCAAGTTATTTTGTTTTGTTTTGTAATGAAATGTATTTTCCATCCCTCTACTTTCAGTCCATGTGTCTTTTTGTCTGAGGTGAGTCTCTTGTAGGTGGCATATGTTTGGGTCTTGTTTTGTTACCTGTTCAGCCACTCTATATCATTTGATTGGAATATTTAATCTTCTTGAATTTATAGTAGTTGTTGATAAGTATGTATTTATTGCCATTTTATTATTCAGAATTTTATCTTTTTTCTTCTTAAAGAAGATCCTTTAACATTTCTTGTAATACTGGTTTGGTGATGATGAACTCCTTTAGCTTTTTCTTGTTCAGGAATCTCTTTATCTGTCCTTTGATTCTAAGCGATAGCCTTAGTGGGTAGAGTAGTTTTGGTTGCATGTCCTTATTTTTCGCCACTTTGAATACTTCTTACCAGTCCCTTCTGGCCCGGAGTGTTTCTGTTGAGAAATCAGCTTACGTTCTTATGGGAACTCCTTTGCAGGTAACCAACTTCTTTTCTCTTGCTGATTTTAAGATTCTCCCTTTGTCTTTAACCTTTGGCATTTTAATTATGATGTGTCTTGGGGTGGGCCTTGTTGGGTTTGTCTTGATTGGGACTCTGTGCTTCCTGGTCTTGTATGTCTATTTCCTTCACCAGGTTAGGGAATTTTTCCATAATTTTTTTTTCACATAGGTTTTCCATTCCTTGCTGTCTCTCTTCTTCTGGTACCCTCATGATGTGAACGTGGCATGTTTAAAGTTGTGCCAAGAGGCTCCTTAAACTATCCTCAGTGTTTTGGGTTTATTTTTTTTCTTTTTGCTGTTCTGTTTGGGTGTTTTCTGCTTTTCTATATTCTAAATTACTGATTTGTGTCTGCTTCATTTACTCTACTACTGTTGATTTCCAGTAATGGGTTCTTCATTTCAGTTAATGTGTTCTTCATTTCTGACTGGTTCTTTTCTATATTTTCTGTCTCTATTTTTTATGTTTCTATAAGTTTGTTGAAGTTCTAACAAGTTCATTTACTCTTCCCCTAAGTTTATTGAGTATCCTTCTAACCAGTGTTTTGAACTCTGCATCTGAGAGATGGTATAGTTCTGTTTTTGGAGTTTTGTTCTGTTCTTTCATTTGGGACATGTTTCTTTGTTTCTTCTTTTTGGCTGCCTCTATGCTTGTTTCTGTGTATTGGGTAGAACTGCTGTGTCTTCTGGGCTTGGTAAAGTGGTCTTATACATAGTAGGTGTCCTGTGTAGCCCAGTGGCGTGGTCTCCCCTATCACCCAAGTTGGGTGTTCCAGGTGCAGCTATCACCCCATCCCTCTGCGTGTAGGCTCTGTGCACAGTCGTGTTGTAGTTGAGCCTTGATTGCTGTTGGGAACCTCAGTAGGAGGGACTGACTGCCCCCCAGCCAGTTGGCTATGAGGACCAGCTATGACTAAGTCGGATTGGCTGCTGTGCAGGGGCCAGCCCCCATACAGGACTTGCTTCAGCAGAACCCTGATGCCCAACAGTCTGCCCCTTGAGTGTGTCAGTGGTGGAGGTAGTTGGGTGGTACTCAGAGTTGTCTGAAGCTATCTACCAGGAGCGTTGGCTCTAGGACCTCCCAGGAATTGCAGGCCAAGGTCAGCCACCACCTGTGCTCTGTGCTGGGCCACCTGGCATTAGCTACATAGTGATCCACAGATGGCTGGCTTTAGCGTTCCCAGGAGAGTTTATAGATGTTTGATGCCTTCACATAAGCTCGTTAAAATATTTGGAAATTTGAAATAATTCAAAGGAAAATCTAACTATTCCATTTCATATAATTTCATTCAGTTAAACATTTTAATTGGAATAAAGCAATAAAAATGACACTAGCATTTCTTTATTTAGAATAATGGCAAATACTTCCTCATATTTAATAGTTTGTTTTGAGGTTTTTACTTTTACTTTGAGGTTTTATTAGGAAATGTGATTTTTTCCATTTGTCTTTTCAGCATTGATACACTGTTGATAGACTTTATACTGAAATGTCCTTGCTTTCCTAAATAAGTCTTTACTCATACTGTTTGACATATTTCTGGATTCTGTTGACTGATACTTAGTTTAGCATTTTTACACCTAGCCCTGGCTAGTGTGACTCAGTGGATTGAGTGCTGCCTTTGAACTGAAAGGTCACTTGGTCGATTCCCAGTCATGGCATGTGCCTGGGTTGTGGGCCAGGTCCCTAGTTTGGGATGTGCAATAGGCAACCAATTGATGTTTCTCTTGCATGTTGATGTTTCTGTCCCTCTCTGTCTCCCTTCCTGTCTCTTTAAAAATAGAAGTAAAATCTTTAAATAGAATTTTTACACCTATTTTTAGATATAGTATGTCCCCTCCCCTTTTTTTTGGTATATTTGAAAAATGAGGATCTGGTATTAGAGTTGTACTGGTTTATAAAATGAAGGAGCTTTTTAAATTGTCTTTCCTAGCTTAAATTTGTTCTTTAAAGGTTGTATTTCAATCTGATCCTGTTCTTTTCCATACCATCCCAACCTCTTCAAGTTTTCTGTTTCTTAAGATAGTTTTGACAGTGTATCTGGAAAGCCCAGTTACTTCTTAAGTTAGTTGCACATAGCATTCTTTCAGACTCTTCATTATCTGTGTTTAAGTTCCTTTCTCATTTCTAAACTTGTATATTTTTGTT